CCACCCCATCCCTCTCTGCCTACCTGCCTGACCACCCCTAACCCCTCTGCTTGCCTGCCTTATCACCCCTAACCCCTCTGCTTGCCTGTTTCATCGCCCATAATGCTCACCTGCCTGCCGCATCACCCCTAACCACTCCTGTGCCTGCCTGGTGGCCCCTAACCAGTTACCTGCCTGCCTGATTCCTCTAACTGCCTCTGTCTTGGGCCCCACCACTGTGGCATCATCCGGAAGGACATCCAGAAGGTCTTTCAGCTGTCTTCTAATTAGCGTGGAGCCCACACATTGGCATTTAAGCTCCCACGTTAATTCCCAAATTGATAGCCAGGTTCACGGGGCTGGGAACCTGGTCTCCCTGAAGCCAGCATTCACCTCAGATCCAAGGGGCAGAAGAACCCAGGGGCCATAGATGTAGCCACAGCAACTTGCCCAAATGGCAGCGCTTCCTTGGCCACCTTGGCAGGTGAAGTTAGGTCAGACTTGAGGAGTCAGGGCACTTATTTCTTTGTAATCTTTGCCTGAGCAAGCAGAATAAAGGGGAAAGAGGTCTTGATATAAGGACGGATTTCTGAAGTTCCCCCTGAAGTCTGCATATGATTGTCTATCCCCTTTCCAGGCAGAGCATGAGCTGCCAGACAGCCAGAAATTAAAGCCCATCCTGGCTTTTAGACCAGCGCCTCCCGCTTCTGTCTACACCCTAGTGCCCCCTCTGAACTGCATCCTGCCTCCCTCAAACTTCCTGTCCTCCACCATGACACCTGAGACAGCAAACAAGATATCAGGGGACTGAAGGCATGTCAGAGGCCCAAGCAGACCCAGGAATCCCCCGTGGCCCTGAGCACCGAGATGCCTGGATGGAGCTCAGTACCTCTGTCCTGGAGCAGCCGACACAGCTTATGCTGGGTGATGCCAGAGATGCCGTGGAGGAAGCCAAAAGCGCCAACAGCAGAGACCACCTCCTTGTTGTGGGTGTACAGAGTGCCAAAACGGAAGCCAGAGATCCCAAATTCCTAGAGGAAGAGAGGGAAACCTGGTTGGTCTGCCTTCTGCTCTTGGTTCCTCTTCCCTTCCAACTCAAGGACAGGCAACTGGGACTCACCTTACTGGTGCCCCAGATCACATGGGTCCTGTTGGGGTCAGGCAAACTGGAGAGGAGACAGTACAATCAAGGTTATGGAGAAATGTTTGAAGGATAAAGACAGGGTCTTTGTGTGAAAAGGAGGAAATGGACTTGAGGTCTTTCCTCAGTAGAAGGGCCTACAGGGTAAATTTCAAAACACAATTGCCCCAGTTAAGCCAAGAAATGAATACAAGGTATTTTGGGGGAACAAGATGAGACAGCTTTCACGGGCCTATTGAATAAAATCAGGACCCTCAGCCTGGCTTGTGGGCCTGTCTCCTGCTGGCCCTAAGCCATCTCCTGTCAGTCGGTTCTTCACACATGAGGTACACCCACCATTTCTAAAATGTGCTCACTTCCTACTGCTCCGCCTATGTTAATACTTTTACTTCATCCGGGAACGCTATTTCTTTGCTTTGGCTGTTAGAACCCTATCCTAGGGCCAAACACTGTTCTTAAGAAAGTTCTGTCCCATGTCTACATTTCCCCTAGG